TTTTTAAGCATGACTACTCATTAGAAACATCTGGACCTCTGGAGAAAAAAAGCAATACCTGAGCATTTGTATTTTTCAAAAAAAATTCAAATAATTCTGATACGCATCTGGATTTTAAAAAGTGATTACTGGTTTTTCTGTTAATCCTAGTTCTGGTGATATAGAGTTCTATTATTTTTCTGTTGACCAATCATGATTAATACAATGGTATTAAGTGAGTGGTATTAAGTGAGTAATAGTTACATAATTGCAATAGTAGAAGGTGTTTATCAGTTTTCACAATCAATAGCGAGACAAAAAATAAAAGATAGTTGCAATTGCAAGCCGTAATGGGAATATGATTAACTTAACAATATAAAATAATTACATAAAATTTGGGGGGGTCAAGCAGAGTGATGTGGTAAGTGAAGGCGCACACACCCACATGTTTTCATCTACCCAGTCAGTCTGTCTTTTGGTTGGTGCATTTAGTCTATTGACATCTAAGGTAATGATTGATTTGTATGGTCCTGTTACTCTTCTTAGTTGATTTGACTTACTTTCTGTAGGTCTTTTCCTTCTCTTGTGTTTCCTGCCTTCCCTAGGCAGGAACTTCTCTAGTTCCTTTAGCTTTTGTTGTAAAGCTGGTTTGGTGGTGCTGAATTCTCTTAACTTTTGCTTGTCTGGAAAGCTTTTGAATTCTCCATCACATCTGAAGCAGAGTCTTGCTGGGTAGAGTGTTCTTGGTTGCAGGTTCTTCCCTTTCATCATTTTACATATATCATGCCATTCCCTTCTGGCTTGTAGAGTTTCTGTTGAGAAATCAGCTGATAGCCTGATGGGAATTCCCTTGTATGTTATTTGTCGTTTTTCCTTTGTTGCTTTTAATATTTTATCTCTGTCTTTAATTTTTGTCAGTTTGATTACTGTGTGTCTTGGTGTATTCCTTCTTGGATTTATCCTTCCTGCGACTGTCAGCTTCTTGGACTTGGTTGACTATTTCCTTTCCCATGTTTGAAAAGTTTCCGGCTGTATGTCTTCAAATATTTTTTCAGGTCCTTTTTCTCTTCTCCCTCTGGGACCCCTATAATGCGAATGTTGGTGTGTTTAATGTTGTCCCAGAGGTCCCTTAGGCTGTCTTCATTTCTTTTCCTTCTTTTTTCTATATTTTGTTCTGCAGCAGTGATTTCCACCGTTTTGTCCTCTAGGTCATTTATCCGTTCATCTGCCTCAGTTATTCTGCTATTGATTCCTTCTAGTGTATTATTCATCTCTTTGTTTTTTAGTTCTTCTAGGTCTTTGGTAAACATTTCTTGCATCTTCTCAGTCTTTGCCTCTATTCTATTTTTGAGATCCTGGATCATCTTCAATATCATTATTCTGAATTCTTTTTCTGAAAAGTTGCCTGTCTCCACTTCATTTAGTTGTTTCTCTGGGATTTTATCTTGTCCCTTCATCTGGGACATAACTTTCTGCTTTTTCATTATGGTTAACTTTCTGTAATGTTTTGTGAGGCTGTGCTTCTTCTTGCTTCTTCTGTCTGCCCTCTGATGGCTGAGGCTAAGAGGCTTGTGTAACTTTCTTGATGGGAGTGGCTGGCAATGGGAAAAACTGGGTCTTGCTCTGGTGGGCAGGGCCTTGCTCAGTAAAGCTTTAATTCAATTATCTGCTGATGAATGGGGTTACTCTCCCTCCCTGGTAGTTGTTTGGCCTGAGGTGACCCAGCCCTGGGGTCTATGGGTTCTATGGGAAAGTCCAAGAGGGTTTACACCAAGGGGGACCTTCCATCCCTGTGGTGAGCCCCTGCTGACCCACACATCCCCAGGAAGCCCTCCAACCCCAGCAGGTAGTTTTGGTTCAGTCTCCTTTGGGGTCACTGCTCTCTGGGTCTTGGCGCATGTAAAATTTTATTTGTGCCCTCCAAGGCTGAAGTCTCTGTTTCCCTCAGTCCTCTGGAAGGCTGATAATCAAAACCCTGCTGGCCCTCAAGGTCAGATTCCCCGGGGATTCTCAGTCCCTTTGTTGGATCCCCAGGCTGGTAAGCCTGACATGGGGTTCAGAACCTTCACCTTAGTGCGACAGCTTCTTTGGTGTTATTGTTCTCCAGTTTGTGGATCACCCACCCAGTGGGTACTGGATTTCATTTTATCGTGATCACACCCCTCCTACCATCTCGCTATGGCTTCTTCTTTGTCTTTTTATTTGGGGTATCTTTTTTGGTGGGTTCCAGCATCCTCCTGTTGGTTCAACAGCTAGTTGCAATTTTGGTGCTCTTGCAGGAGGAGATATGTGTTTGTCCTTCTACTGCGCCATCTTGAACCAGAAGCCCATTAATGAACCATCTTTTTGATGGATTCTGACTTTGATCACATTCAATGTAAAATACTCCAAAGTTAAAAACAAAGTAAAGTCTTTCTCAAAAAGACTGATATAAAAAGACTGATATTTATGTCTCATGTGTGATGGTTTAATCTTTTTGGACTTCTTTGTTTAGATTTTATATGTTTAAATTGTTATTGTATGATTTCAGTTTTGTGTGTAGTGTGAGGTAGGAATTTACTTGTACTTTTTCCCCCAAGTAGGTAACATATTGTGCCAAGAAAGTTTACTGAATAACACGTAGGTTTCCAACTGGTATGAAATATCAGTGTTATTCTCTAATTCTCTTAGAATATACATGAGTGTGTTTGTAAACTTATTGGTCAGTTCCATTACCCTTTTTTTGGGGGGAGGGGGATCCATTACTACCGTATTGTTCTTAGACTTTGTTCTGAGGGTAGCTCTGGTTCCTTTTCTACCTAATTTTCCTAAGGTTTGTTTTTCGTTATTTAACATTTTCTTGTTTAATCTTAAAAGTGATATGTTAGAAGATCTGTTATTTTTCCACTGTTATTTTGATTAATTTACATCAATTTGGGGGAAATTAATATGTACTTAAAAGTGCCATGAAACTTTAATCATTGTATTATTAGTTAATTTTCATTTATATTTGCCGTATACCCTTTTCTTTGCATGTAATTCCCTACCTGTCTCCTTACCTTTTTGTGTCTTTGAGCTTTCACTTTGTATTATTTTGTCTGTTACTGAAGCCCACCCTTTAGTATTTTCATTAGCATAGGGTCTGGCCAGTGGTGAATTTGTTCATTCTTGTTCACCTGAAGCTATTTTTATTTCACTTTAGTTTTTGGAAGTAAATTTTATTGGATATGCGGCTCTGGATGAGCAGGCATTTCAGTGCATTGAGGAGAACCATTTTGCCTAAATGCGCTTGGCCTTGGGTTAGAGGGTCGGGGTGGGTTTGCTTGGTTCTAGCCTGGCCTTCCTGTGGGGAAGCCTCCCTCTGGATTGAACGTGTGGCTGTCCTTCATGTTGTGGAATCAAATTCAGCTGCTCTAGTGCTATCCACTGCTCACAGTGCAATAATAATAGCTTTAGCCCCTAGTTTATCCCCAGAAAAGCTTGATATTTTTAATATATGTAATTCCCTACCCGTCTCCTTACCTTTTTGTGTCTTTGAGCTTTCACTTTGTATTATTTTGTCTGTTACTGAAGCCCACCCTTTAGTATTTTCATTAGCATAGGGTCTGACCAGTGGTGAATTTGTTCATTCTTGTTCACCTGAAGCTATTTTTATTTCACTTTAGTTTTTGGAAGTAAGTTTTATTGGATATGCGGCTCTGGATGAGCAGGCATGTCAGCGCATTGAGGAGAACCATTTTGCCTAAATGCGCTTGGCCTTGGGTTAGAGGGTCGGGGTAGGTTTGCTTGGTTCTAGCCTAGCCTTCCTGTGGGGAAGCCTCCCTCTGGATTGAACGTATGGCTGTCCTTAATGTTGTGGAATCAAATTCAGCTGCTCTAGTGCTATCCACTGCTCACAGTGCAATAATAATAGCTTTAGCCCCTAGTTTATCCCCAGAAAAGCTTGATATTTTTAATAAGTTTTTTTTTAATGCTTTTAAGGTGGTAATTTTCATGTTTTATCCAGTACTTTTGATAATATTTGATGGGAGAAATTCTTTTAATATTTTAATATTCTATTATTAGAAAACTATTCTTTCCAGTGTTATATTTCAGTTTGTAATTCTCTCATCAGCTGAATCTAATTGTTTAAATCTGTATGTTAAATTTTATTTTATTTATTTATTTATTTTTTACCAGAACATCACATAAGTTTATTTCAGATGTAACAGCAGTGTTAAAATCAACAAGTTTAAATCTTAACTGCACCAAGTAAACTTAGCTATTTAAGTATTTTTAAAGTTATTCCCTCCAAAAAACTGAGGGAGCTCTTCTTTTCCACCCCACATTCCACGGTTTCTCAATAGTCAGTTCTATTTCTGGAGGACTCTCAATTGATAAGTAAACTGCTCTGGGGATATTTCAGAACTTTTTCCCCAAATGAAAACTAATCTGGACGAATTATATATTGCATAGATTTCTCTGCAGATTTTCTTTAGAACCTAAATGTAATTACCATATGATATAATTTTACCTATTTGCCCCACAGAAAAAACTATCTTCCCTAAAAAATATGATGGATACATCTTGTGATCTTCTAGTTAATAGAATTATTTTACCTCAATGATAATTATCGTATTTCAAAATAACCTACTCAACATGGGACATTATTTCAGTCTTTACTGACTTCTAGGCACATGAAAGAGTGCCTAGCTTCTAGCTCTTCTACATCCTTCTCTTCCATAAATGGATGGAATTATTTCATGTAAGTCTGATGTAGGACAGTTCACCTTTTACAAACACAATTTAGGTTAAAGTCAGTGACTAGTGTGGAGAAAGAAACAGTAAAATGATACGGAGCCTACACACTCAATTCAAAAGTTAATATTTTTTCCTCCATAAAAAATATGTACTTAATTGTCATGAGGCAGCTATTTGGTTTTCATTAACCACATCTAGGGATACATTCATAGGACTGATTAGATAGTCCAGGTGAAATGGTTATAGAAATAGAGGCAGTGTCATCTCACAAAACTCATTTATATATCAAAATCTATTTTGACATCTGAAGTTTACAAAAAGACTGAATTCTTCAAACTAATCTTGCCTTCTGTAACTCAAGCACTCTTCTCTTGGCAAGAGCAAGCTGAAGCTTATCCATGAAGGTAAAGGTGCTCAATGCTAAACTTTTCTTCTAAGCTTAGATTTGGACTGCTTAAGAAACTGATAACCAAGAAACCAGCAAGGTCTTTCTACATTTTTACTATCTTAAGATTAGAACTCTATGAACTCACTCATCAACTATCTTCTTTTTCTGTATTATTCTTGGCACTCAACTAAGACTGTTGAAGTCTATTGTACCTTGCATTTTCACATTCTCAAATAAGAACTTAAGATTATAAGATGTGCATAAACATTGTGTAAAATAATTTTGTCATTCAATGTATTTAAAGAGATGAAACTTTTATGCCAGAATTTACACAAGAAGATAAATGTTATGAATCAGCCTTCTTTTTAAAGTCAAATGACAGAAAATTCAAGCTCTGTGCAACGTTTTAAGTCTAATGAAAACATTTCTTAAGCCACTGGTATTGGCAATGTAGAAAATTTTGAATATTGGAGATGGGATTATGGAGGAAAGCCTGAAAATTTAGAGGTCTTCTATCTTACAGAAAGTTACTGACCTGTCAAAGCCACTCCCTAAGTGCCAGAAAATGATCTGGCATAAACCAGTCCTGTCAGTACAGGAGGTCACAGTGACATTCGCGTTATTAACACTTCTAGACTTCTACTTTTCCCAAGAACAGAAGCAATGTGTTTAATAATTCCCCCTCCCCCAAATCCTTAAACTCAGTATCACAGGCACAGAATGTAAGCAAATCTGGGATGTTCTCCAACAGATATGCAATAGCACAGCTATGTTATTCTCAAAAATACTGTCTAGATATTCTTTCCTCTAAAATCAAATGCTCAGTGGCCACACTTCTAACAGTCTGCGTTAGCTGACATTAAATGCATTTATTGTGCCACAAATCCTTCTAAGCTTCTGTTTAGGTATTTTTTTGTATGTCCAGGAGACAATACCTACTTCAGGTTTATTTAAGGGCACTGACCTATAAAGGACATCAACTCCATATTTAAGGTCTGACCAACTACTGTGGGTTTACTGAAGAAAAACAACAGGAGAAAAAAAGCAGATCACAACAAACCTCTTTAGGTCAGTTAAAGGCTGTATCTCTAGCTGGGATATTAAAGAAAAAAATTAATCTCACCAGCCCATATGCTAAAAGATAATGCCACTAGTAACAATCAACAGCAGGAAAAACAAACCTGCTAACCAACAGCCCACTCATTAGCAAAAAGCAGTTTAACTCACATACTGAGACCAAAGTCTAATACTACCAATTCAAACTGTCCCACCCACCTTCAGCCACCAGCAAAGAAGGAAGAAATAATTGCTTAACAGAACAAAATAAGCTTAGTATTTCTTACAAGGATAACAATGGCCCAACTCCTGAGATAATACTCAGAAGAACAAAAGGTGGATTGAAGGCAATGTACAGGGATTAGTATCCCACAAAATCTTTTAAAAACCCAAAGGACCACAAACACACTAAACTTGTCTAAGAGTTAGAGAACAAGATATTGCTGCTGCTTCTTTTTGTCCTTTGAAATAATACAATATTTTGTAGGCTCTGCCTTTCAATGTGAAAGCAGGACATTAAAAAAAAATGGAAATTGACACTCAGATTTTTGGGACCATATATACCTTAACTGTGAAACTAAACCGATCTATACCTTCTCCTTCCTACAATCAAACCACCTCACAAAAATAAGAAAACTACAACAATCCAAACATGATTAATACGTCCTTAAAAGTTTAACACTTTTAGAGGAAAGGGAAGCAAGTTTTGAAAGGAGGAGAAGTAAGAACAAGGAAGGGGAAAGTTTTAAAGGAAGGCGGCGGGGAATCAATGGGCCTCTCTCTTATTTGGCGACAAGCAAGTGCAAGAAGGTTCATCTGTAATTTGTTCAGTTGTCTGTCTTTTGCACATCTGCGTTCTGGCCAGAAGGGACTTTGAGGTTTTTCTGCAGCACATGAGCATCTGCGGGCTCTACCCTCTTATAGTAGTTCTTCTTTGTCTCAATAATCTCAAAGCCAAACTTTCTGTAGAAGTCAATTGCACACTCATTGCTGATCTGGACATGCAGATAGATGTTGTCAAAAGTGCCATCTTTCTCACAGATGTTTAAGACGTGATTTAACATTTTAGTTCCAATTCCTAGCCTTCGGTATGGTGCCAGACATCCTAGTGTCATGATGTAAAGTCTCTTCTGATTCTGTGAATGATCCACCCTACAGCACACGCACCCACTGCGATATCATTGAAATAGGCAAGCTTTGCTAGTTCGCCAACCTCCAGCACATCCTTGTAGAACTTGTCATTGTAGCTGACTGGAAAGATGACCTGGTTTAATCTCTTCCGCTGTTTAATATTGTGTGGTGTCACATCTCCCAGCTCGATCCGGCTACCTTTCATCTTCCCCGCCTGCTGAGGCCGTTGTTACCACCGATATCAACGCCGTGGTCGTCGCCGCCCTGAGCTCTCCGAGCCCTCGCTCGGGCCACTCAACCCCACCAGCCGGCCTCCTCGCCTAAGGCAAGGAGCTGAGCGGGTGACTGAGGCCGCGAGAGTTTAGCACGGCCCTGCGTCTTCGGAAGGGGCGGAGGTGCCTCCCGCCACCGCAGCTTCTCCACACGTGCACACGGGGAGCTAGCCTCCCGCCCGCCGCCACCAGCCATTCCCGCCGCTGCGCTTTGACCTTTCACCCCGCCCCTTCTGCGCGCCGGCGCCCGGCGCCCCGGCGCCCCTCGCGCAGCCGCACTCCAGGCCTCTGTCTGTTAAATTTTAAAATTCCGATTATTGTGTTTTTTTTTAAGAAGTTCTATTTGGTTCTTCTTCAAGTCTGTCTGGACATTTTGTCAGCTATTGTTCCTTAGTTATACATTCAATATCTTCTAATGTCTATGAGCATAAACATTTTATATTCTGTGTATTATTGATTATTTCAGTATGTGAAGTCTTTGCAGGTTGGATTACCCTGTCTAATGTTTGGCTGATTTTTATTTTTCATTTGGGGTGATTTATTTCTCATTCTTTTTATGAATTTTTTTTTTTTTATGGGCTCATGTTAATTGGAACATGGAAATTCTTTGAGGAAAAATGCAGGTTTTTCCAGGGAGTATTTGCATTTGTGTTTAATGAGTCTTTGAAGCATTATCTCACCAAGATCATTGTTTTGTTTTGTTTTTTTATTTATTTTTTCCAGGGCACATAAGTAATATGGATTCTCATAATTCTGTCTGAATTTTAAAATATTTTTTATATTTTAATGTTATCTATATCTGTATTTTTTCCTTATAATTCCAGTTGTTCTTCTCTAAGAAGAAGCCTGTGCCCCACCCTGTGTGCATGTGTGCTTACGCGTGCGCGCGCACACACACACACACACACACACACACACAATAGATCTCCCTATCCTGAACCGGCCAAGTGTAACATGACTTTTTCTTCTCTTATCTTTATAGCCAAGTCAGCTTACAGGTTTCCTAATTCTTTGTGTATTGTTGTGCTTTCCAGTTTTTTCCTTCATTAGGTGTATCACCCTTTAGGCTCCCCCTTCTTATGTGGATGATCTGTGATATGTTTTCTCCTGCTGCATCGTCCCAGTGTCTTTTATCTCTTATGCACAGAGCCCTTCAAAATCAGAGCTGGCCGTGGCGTGCATTAGCAGACACTGCTGGAGAGCGTCTACCTTCAGAACTCACTTTTCTCTCTGGATTTGACCTTTTTCTTAATCTTAGGTTATTTTTTTAATTCTCCTCTCACCTCAGTGAACCTTGAAAAGACTTACAAAACCCTTTATCCAACATTTTTAAGGATTTTGTCCGGAGAAGGCTCTTCAGGATACCTTGTCTACCCCACTGCCCTAATATTTTTCAAATGTTATTTTTAATGTTTCTTTTATAGGATTCAGTTTAGCTGCTTTTAAAAGAAACAAGAGGAAACTAGAGCTGGCAGAAAGGGTGGAAACAGATTTCATTCAACTAAAGAAAAGAAGACAATCAAGTGAAAAGGTCAGGAGGTGTTTAAAATATTAATAATTAATGTATCATAGTGATATATTTAGTTTGCATTTAGATATGTAAGTTTCAGAATAGTATTACCCGGTAGAAATATAATGCATGCCACATATGTACTTTTCAAGTTTTCCATCGCTACACTTAAAAAAGTAAAAATAAACAGGTAAAATTAATTTTAATATTTATTTTATTTAAACCAGTGAACCCAAAACTCCCTTTAAATATGTAACCAGTGAGACAATTACTAGCGAGCTATTCTGTTTTCTTTTTTCAGTATTGTCTTCAAAAGCAGTGTATATTTCACACTTAACAGCACGTCTCAATTATGACACTAAATTTTCATTGGAAATATTTGATCTGTATTTAATATCATAAAATTAATAGTTGATAAGGTAGGTTTACATAGCAGATTACATTACAAGCATACTTAAAACTTTCCAGTAATTGACTTGAATATCTGTTCTAAAATTAAAGTTAATTAAAATGTAATAAAATTAAAAATCTGACTTCTTATTTGTCCTCGCCATATTTTTAAGCACTCAGTAGGGCTGTGTGGCTCGTGGCCGCTGTTTTGGTCATTGCAGCTCTAGGCGAAAATGGCTCTTCAGGGGATGGAGTGTTATAGGGAAGTGTATATGTTAGATTGATGTAGGTTTCTTTGCGTATTCTACTTGCATGTCTGTTTCTGTTCTTGCACACTCTTTGCTTGCATCTCACGCGTTTGCGTGCCACTGTGAGTCTGTGTGTGGCAGTCATCAGGTGTTGCGGGAACAGAAACAAGTTAAGACTGTGACAGTCCTGCTCGACCTATGGCTTCAGGGTTGGATAGCACCACGATCGTGATGCAAGTCTCATGTCACGTCATTGTTTGATACAACTTGGAATCTCAGTATTCTGTTTTGATTAGCCCTTCTCTAATTGCTTATATACTGACTTACACTTTCTGTCATAGCTGTGTGTGGTTTTCTCATATATGAATGCATACTAAATATATGAATGCATACTAAATCGTCTCTCGTAGTGAGAGATGTGTTTTACCAAGTTCTTTTGGGCTGCTATGTGGAGGACAGGGGGAGGCCAGAACAGAAGTGTGGAGACTAGTTACACAGGTTTTACAGTTGGGAGATGATGGCAGCTTGGACCATGGATGATGGAGATGGAGAAGGAGAGAAGTGACTACATCCAGGATATAGTCTAAGGGTTCCTACAAAGGGCAGCGGTTACTGGTGTCTGAAAGGTTGGTGAGATAGAGAGCGGAGTTGTAGGTTTTAGTTTTAGTCATTGTGTGTTGACATTTCTTAAGGTGAGGGGAGTTAGAGAAAGTGTGATTTCATGGTGATAGAGGTGGGAAGTGGAGGAAAAGAACTTGCTTGGTCCATATTCCCTTAACAGACTCACATTAACCAATACTTTTTATTTTCACCACAAAACATATTATCGGATGCTAAAGTGCCCTAAGCCCCCGAAGCTAATAGACCGCTTGTAGTCTGTACTGTTCCTCTGCCCTTTTCAGCTGAATTTTGTGCCACTAGGAGTCTCATTATGCTCTTGTTTTCTACTGCTGTAATTACATAGTTCTTCACGTCTTCTGTAAACTGATGAATATTGAGCTTAAAAAGAGAGTTCTCTGCTTGAGAATTGAAAGGGTTGTTTGTTTGAAAACTAACTTGAAAAAGCAGAGTGGGTCTGTAAAAATAGAATTATTTTTGCCATAGAATTAAGTTGGGGGAAGTCAGTTATAAAATATTGAGAAAAATCATAAAAATCTAGAAGCTTTCTGTATTCAGAGTGTGTTGTTAATGTCTTTATATTCTTGTTCTATTTTAGATAAAATTTGAAATCATAGGACAATCCAGCGTGTTATAGAAAGATGATATGGACCATTTGTATGTGGGCTCACGTTCAGAGAAAAGGCTTTGGTCTTATATAAAAAGATTGGCTAGTGAATGAATGAATTGGTTTTATGTTTTAATTAAGAAAAGACATATTTACAATATGTGTCCTTTTTTATGATTCTCTACTTCACCCAGAGGATAATCAATTTTTGAAAAATTTAAATGACCACTCATCAACCTAGTTAAGAGGATTTCCAATGAAAAGCTTGATGTGGCAGCAGGAGATGTTGACTATGGAGTTGGTTATATGCATCTGAAGCTTAGGGGTAGGTCAGGAGAGCGTTTCTCATTTGGAAACTATTGGCATCAAAAGGAATATAAATCCATGTGGCCAGATCAGCTCACTGAGGAGTGAGTGAAATTAGAGGTCTGAAAACTGGTCCCCAGGCCAGGCTGACGTGTCTATGTTGGGAGGAGGAGAAACCAGTGAAGGAAAAAGATGGAGCAGCCAGTGGGGTAGAGGGGCCCCCAGGAGAGTGGCTAGGAAGCAGACAGAAGCTCAGAGCCAGTCGTCACCGGGTCAGAAGCTGCTGAGAAAACAGGAGATGGGCGGAGGCCGGGCTACTAAACTCAGGACCTGGTGACTGCGGACCCGGGTGAGGACGGTCTCCCTGACGCAGAGGATTATAGACCTGCTGCGGAGGCTCCATGGGGGAGGACCCGGGTGAGGACGGTCTCCCTGACGCAGAGGATTATAGACCTGCTGCGGAGGCTCCATGGGGGAGGACCCGGGTGAGGACGGTCTCCCTGACGCAGAGGATTATAGACCTGCTGCGGAGGCTCCATCAGGAGGGCATGGTCGAGATAATGCCTTAAAGAAGTTTTGCTGTGGGGTTGGAAGCAGGGTCGAGATACCTTACTGGTTTCAGTGACCTTATGTGAATTCAGTGAGTAATTTCACCTAAGAAGTCTCAGTTTCCTTATTTTTTAAAATAGAAAATAGTGATATTCTCCTTTGTGGCTGTTAGGAGAGACAGAAGTGTTAAGAGATGATCACGTGCTTGGTGACCGTCACTGACAGAGGCCCCGTCATCTTTGCCTTTGCCATTGTTTGCCTTCGTCTCTAATGTCACTCAGCCTGAAAAGAAAGAAACCTGCTCCGCCAGGCGGAGTCTTGCAGTGGAGAAGGGGAGGGTGGTAAGAGATGCTGGCCGTGGTGGGTACAGAGCTGGAGTTCAGGTATGCTTCAAATGGCGTAGTTTAGACACCTGAAATGACAGGAAAATGTTTTTAGTATTCAGAATGTTTGAACTTTAATGTGTAAAAAGCACTGGGTTTTGACATTGACCTACAAAAATGACTCTGACCGAGTTTCTGTCTTTAGGGAAGGGTGCTGGCCACAGGTTTTGTCTTACAGATGTTTGCTGCATAACCTTGGCAGAGGTGATAAAAATGCTCCCAGAAAGAACAGGCTACCAGATAAGGAGCCAGTGGAGCAGAAAATTACAATTTTTGAGAGGAAGTACAGCAACTTTTTAGAGATGTTGTGACAGGCAAATAGCTGTTTTCTCAATCAACCTGTGTTTTAGTTTATTACTCCCTGTCCTGTGTGTATAGTTTCCACATAGTTTTGGTTAGCCAGCATTGACTAAGGCCCAGTACTACTGTGTGTTGTGGCTACATAAAAGAAGCTGTGAGTTGGGTATACAAACATAATGAAAAGAATAGGGTTTTTGGTAACTTTCCTGATGTTCACTTTCTTGGTTATTCAGTGTTGGAGGACATAAATATTGTCTTGAAAGGAGTATACAGTAGAGTAAATATTTTTAAGCCTGATAATAAAGGAAATAAATTTGGAGATTTTTGTTGCATTGATATTTCTCTTTTTCCTTAAAAAGGTAACCGATTGTCCAGACCTTGTCACAGTACTAATTTTGTTGTTGTTGTTCAGTCAGTCGTGTCCGATTCTTTGTGACCCCATGGACAGTGCTAATAGAAATCAGAGTTAAAGCAAGAAGAAGATTTCATCAGCTTGCTACCTCAGTCAGAATATTTTTATTTTCCTTAGTCTCTGACCATCTACACTTACATTTGACTTAGTTTAGAATAAGAATGGTTAATCAATGGGATGCTTTTGACCGCAAAAAACAGAAAACCTGATGGTGACTTAGGAAATGCATATTTGTCCCCCTGCTCCCTGGCATATAAAAAAATTGGAAGTGGGTGGGTTGCAAGCTTTTGTGAGCTCGGGCTTCTAGTGATGCTGGAGCCAGCATATCTGGGATTTCTCTTAGGACTTTTCCCTCACGCCTTTTGCCTTATGGGTGGAATATGGTTTCTATAATTTGAGGTGTCACGTCTGCATTGAAGGTGAGAAAGTGAGACCATGGAGGGTGGGCAAGGGGAGACTAGTGCCAGATGTGTCTCTCACCTTTCTATCTGGGATGCGAAGGTTTTCCAGGCTCTCTCTCAATGGAGTCCTCTTTAGTTATTTCTTTTGGTCACATTGCTATTCCCAGCTGCAAAAGAGTCTAGGGAATTGAGTGGATTTTCCTGATTACTCTCTCTCAGCTCATGACTTGTCTTCCCAACAAAATAGTTCTTTCCTTGTTAAGGAAGGGGAGGAGAGTGGTTATTAGGTAGGTAGTTTATAGTGTGTAGTGTGAATGGGGAACTTATTTTTGTCATCTTTCTCCCCACAATTAATATGTCCCTTGTTGCTGCAAACCAATACTGGCGTAAGCAGCTAATCCACCCGTAAATCAAATAAAACCCATTTTGTTTTCTCTTTCAGAATACATGGGGTTTAAGATATTAAAAAATCAGGAATAAATTCTGAGTAATTGTCCATTCTTAATAGTTGGTTTCTCTGTTTCATCCATGTTTTTTTGTGTGTGACTTAGCAGGGAAAACATACTGGAGAAGGAAAAGGTTATTATTTACCTGTAGTTCTGTGTAATATAAAGGTAGCAGTTGTCTGCTCTCTGTTCCCCTCCCTTCTCTGGGCAGACCCAGCTGTTCTGGATTTTCTCTTACCTCCTCCTTTCCCTTGCAGTGTATACAGGCAGTCCACACTTTGCATGGTAGTGCTGGACCATGAAAATGACCATGCAAACCGAAATCGTGCAAAGGGATCTTAATGGCAAAAGTTACACTTAT